GCGAAAAAAAATAAAAAATAAAAACAGGCCTAGGCATCCTATTATGGCCCAAAATGGTACGATAGGAGCCATGAAGTCAACACACCAGGCTGGTTCAAAATTCAAACAATGAATTTTGAACTTTTAATGGAAACACTGCATTGAAAGATGGAATAACTGTAACAACTAGGATTCAAGAAGAAAAGGACTGTTTTCAACTGTTCAGGGCAAAATATGAGCATTTTGCAGTTGATTCTGAATTTTTATTTTTATTTGCAAATCAGAAAAAAATGAAGCGGGAGAATCCGTTAACCAAGAAATTAAATTGGTGTAATCAGAAAAAATGGACAGGGCGAATATAGAATAAAGAAACCTGAGCTCCTATTGATAGTTCTTGGAATGGGAGTGGTTCTCTTGAGTTAGAGGTGTGTGGCCACAAGCTCTTGGGGAGGAGGCCATATCAGAATGCTGACAGCCAGAAATTGTGTAATACTGGCTACCACTTGTGTCAATCATCGAATTAAAAAATACAAATTTATAAAGATGAGATAAATACTGAAATCCTTCCTACCAGTAGTAGCATCTTTGCTATCTGTTTGTCCCTCTTCCTCTGTGACAGGTTTCTCCTTGTTTCCAGTGTGGTCAAATCTCTGCAACATCACTCGCAAGTCCTCATCCAACTGAAAACAAAAATCAGAGATTTCAGTAGTGCTGCATACCTAAACCCAATTTTAGCTTCAGGTCCGGATTCAAGTCCAGAGGTTTAGGTTCAGGTCTGGACTTGTAAGTCTGGACCTAAACCCATGGCATATACAAAATTGAATGTTGGCAACCTTGCAATGTTGTCTGGGTGAAACTTTGGCCACATAACATGGAGGCTGACACTTGACGATGTCCGATGGCAATGTTTTCTTCGTTTTCCAGCAAAAATTTTACAGTCTACGGAAGGTTTTAGGTGGTTTGGAAAGAAAAGGGGTATGCGAAATGGTCTTTTATGGTAATAAGTCCAGACTCGGTTCTTGACTTTTAGGTTTTTTTGGACTTGAACCTAAACATTCTTACAAGTCCGAATCCAAGTCCAGTGAACCGGTATACATCACTAGATTTCAGACTTCAAGTAATTACTTGGGGTTTACCATTTAGGCCACACCGCCTTAATTCTATGGTTGACATCCACGTGCGCATTGATTTTTACCTGTTCTCAAAACAACAAAAAAAGATCATGTCCTCCAAGGTTCTGGCCTGGGTAGTTAGCGACAATACAGAGCCAGCGGTAACTCTGGAGGATGGCACCCAGGCTGCTGAAGCTCCACAACTCAAGAGCTCAGTACATGCCAATTACGTACAGTGCCGATTCATAAATTCTGCAAAAGGCGAGCATGTGCCGGCTTGTCATATAGGTCACTATGTACATTGTACTACCGTAAATTCACAATACTAGCTTTGTATTCCTGTGGTTTAGTAGCATTTTTATTTTTGGCTGGAACTTTTTTTTATTCACCTGTCCCACATGCACTAGTTTGGGGGTCTTCAGAGGATGTCATTTATAAAATTAAGTCAGTGTGGCCTTACAATAAGTTACATGAATTTATTGGAAGAACCAAGGAGATTGTATGACATAATTTAATTGGCACTAGAACAGTCTAACTGTGGAGGGTTGGAGGATCGGTCATGCAATCATTGGCTTCCTGAATTCCCCCATGGTGCCCTCTAATTCCTGCTGGCTTCCAGACAGATTCTGGGAGCTTCACTTTTACCCCATTTTCTGTGTCTGACCTTTTGACCTCCTGTCATTCTGCCTGTCAATCTTTCCCCCACTTTTTCCAGACAAGCATACATTGTACATACAAACTCACAAAACCCACCCAAAACCATACTACCGTACCCAGAAAATGTTTCATTCAACAAGCATTAAACATTATGATCATACTGTACTTCTCTCTTTAAAAAACCTGCTTAAATGAACTAATGGTACATCTATAATCATAGCAACAGATGTTCCATTACTGACCAGTGTCCAGTATCTGTTGACCAGTCCGAGCGCGGCCTCGTCGGCAAGCTGGCGTTTCTCTAACCGCTCGATCCTCTCCCTGAGTTCGTCTTCAATGGCCTTGCGCTGCTCCAAACGTTCTGCTAGCTTTCTGTTCTGGAACTGCAGCACTTTCAGGTCCAGTTCCTCCTATAGGATCATGGGACACAACATGGTTGCTATAAGTTGGTTCACAGTTAAAACTGCACTTGTGTTCGGTGGGTGTTTTGGGGTTTTTGGAGAGGTGTTTTGGGTTTTCGTGAATGTGTTGGAACTGTGCAGGGGATTGTTGATACAATTTAATATACCAGTTCCTGAATTCCTCCATATCGCCCACTTAGTTCCCATGCTGAGTCACCTTCAAGCTTGACCTCCCTGTCAATCAATTGTCCAAATCACCTCCCATCTATATCATCAAACAGACACACAAACTTACGAACAACCACTCAAAGTAATACTTCCGTACCTGAGAGTAAGATTGTGAATGAACTAGAAAGGTAACATTTGCAACAGGGTGTCTGCTACAGCACCAGTTACCATGGTGACAGCCACCTGGTCCAGGTCATTGACTTTAGTTGGAAAACAATTAGAAGAAGAAGAAATTGTATTGAAACAAAGCGAAAACAATAGCATTGAATAAACATGACATTGAGTCTACCTGTGAGGACATCTTGTCCAGTCGTACGGGCTCAAACACGATAGAAGGAATGGTGATGGACTTCTTGGCAGGCGGCGCGCCCGCCGAGGTGCTGGGAGACTCGTTGAGCGACCGTTTGGTGGCCATCTTGTCTTGTGTTAACACGTCCTACCTGAAACCCAAGAACTTTTTAATTTACTTACTCAAATCTACAGCATTTGGGGTCATATAGCACAGTCGGTAGAGTTCGGCTCACACCCAAGAGGTCGTGGGTTCAAATCCTGCCCATGTCACCAATCTTGTGCCCCTCATTGGGAAAGGCACTTAACACAACTTTCCTCACTTAACTCAGGTGTAAATGAGTACCTAGCTTCAGTTAGGGACATCCCTAGGATAGGACATTAAATGGAGGTCCCGTATTTGGGAGAGCCACACCCCACGCACGTAAAAGAACCCACCGCATTTATCGAAAAGATTAGGGGACCTTCCCAGTGTGAGTGGTTCAAACCATACAGTCCGGTCTTACACAGCTTGTACATGTGTGTACATGTACAAAACTGGTGTGTTACGCCTAAAGGTGGTTTACCGGTTATGCGAAACAGACATTTGTGTCAGGAGTTGACATAACAGGTGACTATCACCTCTTCAAGATGTCAAACCTGAGACCAGGCTGTAAGGTTTGAACCACTCACACCGGGAAGAACCCTGCTCTTTTCGATAAGTGTGGTGGGACCTACAACATGCTCGAAGTGTGGCTCTCCTTAAACACAGGACCTATGGCTTGTAAAAGGAGACAACAAAGGGGCCTGTCCGGGTTTTGAACCCAGAACCTTTTGGTTCTGTGCAGCTGGTTCTGTGTCAACAACCCTCACCACCAGACCACTGTGCCACCTATAGAAATGATGTGTTCATCAATATAGGATTTCAATGATATGTAATTTGACATTTGATATCAGGACTAAATTTTGTATTTCTTTGACCAACATATGTACATTTACAACCCACATTTTGAATTAGTATAAGTCCTGTCCATATACGTACGTAACTTGCTTTGCAGTACTTTTGTAAAATTTTGTATGCCTGATATTTTAGCATGCATATGTGCATGTGCTATCTATTTATCTAAGAATATACTTCCAAATTTGCGAGTTTAGAATCTCTTGAATTATACATATCATAATGAATCTTATTAAAGGCAGGTAAGTCTTAAAACTGCAGCATACATATCGTAAATGGCTACATAGTTATGAAGATTTTGATTTCCAAAAACCAGGAAGATTTTCGCCCCCCTCCCCATATTTTTATACCCTCTTATACAGAACACATTCTACTCTAATTCTACATTTGTAACATTCAAACACACCGTGTGAGGGTATTTGAATTTATCGTATGTATTCCTGGTCTTTACCTGGTCCCTTTGGGACAATACTTACCTAGTTTTTCGTCAAAATGAAAAAACATTGTCTAGGCGTCCTCCATCTTGAATTCTTTCCGTCACGCAAGTCTCGCGTGGTCTCGCGTGTTCTAACAAAGCGCGAGAGTTGGACGATTACACTTTTAGGGGGTGTGAACTTTCCAAATTAACGCTTACAAAACATTATACGATTTAATATTTTTTCAATGTTTTATAAATCAATAACATATATATATTTTCACTAAAGAAATACTTTTAAATGTATATTTTTGGAATACAAGTGTATTTTAGATATTTTTCAAATAAGGGTCTTTCCCGTATTATGGTATCTCCCAATTGGGTTCAATATGAGGTCATTTTGGGATTCCTGCTGCAAAGCACGTTCTGCTTTTTTTGGGAGGGAAATTCTTTTGTAATTTTAAGTTCACACCCAGCCACAACTTTTCTGCCAACAAGGGTCAGCAGATGCTACTCAACTATCACAACAGGTCAGTCAATGTTTAAAATTTATAAAGTGCGGCGAGATCTTTCTTTTTAAACGTGGAAAAGCGCGGTAAATTTTTACGTCATTTTGTCACATGGATGATGGTTTATATATACGACTTCTTAAGGGGAAATCGCAAGTTTGAGTTTGAATTTTGTAAGAGACGTACCTTTATGATGATTAGTAGTCTTGTTCCTTTCGTTTCACATATAAGAAGTTAACATGTTACATAACTAATCCCCAGTCGTACAGTGTAACATTATGTAGGTTTGACCAACCAGGACTGAAACTCTGCTTGCAAATCGTTGAGTCAGCAAAATATTTCTAGAGGTTTTTAGTATGGTTCAGCAATTTTGTTTGTTTGTTTCTGTGGCGTAACTGGTAAACAGGCTTTAATTGTATACAAGAAGTTCCTGTTTTTATACATTATGAGTACAAATTGCGAAAGACCAGACAGTACCTAAGGGGGGCCCGCATGCCCTTTTCCATAGAGCGTAATCGACCGTTTTAATTCTACATAGAGCGTAGATGGACCACTGTAATTCAACGTAATGGATTGTAGCCACTTGGAATTTATCGTAGAGCGTAATCGAGAGGTTTCCTGAATCCAGCGTAATACGTAGTCAGCTCTTAAAATTTAGCGTAGAGCATTGTCAGGACCCCCCCATGCAGGCCCCCATTAAGGTTTAATCCACTCACACCAGTAAGGACCCCTATTAGTATATTCATATACATTTCGATCAGAAGTGTTGTATGATCTTTAACATGCTTGAGATATGGCTCTTCTCAAACACGGGACCTCTAGCTTTAAGTCCCTCCGAGAGGACGTCACTAACCGAAGCTACTGAGTAGGTACTCATTTTCACCTAAGTCCAGCAAAGAAATAGGGGCATTTAGTGCTGGGGCCCGCCAGGGATTCAAACCCAGAACCTTCAGCTTCTGAGTCAACTACCCCAACCCTACATTTTTTATAAGCAAGTTGGTAGGTTGTAGATTTAATAAACTTCTCCTTGCTGTTCAAATGCCTTACCTTCACAAAGTGGACTAGATCATACTATCATAGTAGATGCTATTTAGTGTACAAACAGTTAATCTTATGTAATCATACTTAGGCCACAGCGACTTAATTTTATGGATGACATCCTCTGAAGACCCCCAAACTAGTGCACGTGGGCGAATGAAAAAAATTCTGGGCAAAAATAAGAATGCTACTAAACCACAGGAATACAAAGCTGGTATTGTGAATTTTACAGCAGTACAAAGCGACTTATAGGACACCTGCTGTCTTTTTGCGGCATTTATGAATCGGCACTGTACGTATGTACTGAGTTCTTGAGTCATGGAGCTTTGATGCCATCTGTGCCATCTTCCAGGGTTACCCATGGCTCCGCATTGTTGCTAACTACCATAGTGTGATTTTTTTTAGAACAGGCGAAAATCAATGCGTGCGTGGATGTCATCCATAGATTTAAAATTAAGCCGGTGTGGCCTTATCTTTCACTAAGTTTTAGCTCTAGAACTACTAGTAGAAGAATGTGTATTATGGCTTCAGTGTTTGGATTAGCTAATGCTACATGTCCTGTGTGTCTTACATCTGTCCTGGTTGTTAGGTCAAGCAGAACAACTGGATGCCTTCTTCTAATTAAGAAGATTCTCAAGTTACTGTCGCTGACATGTATTTTGCAGACCCCAACAGACAGAATTCTTAGAAATATAGAATACAACACGGCGTATTTCATATCGCCCGAGGTACCAGCCTGCGGGAGGGCTGGGACCGAGGGTAATGCGGAATACACCGTATTGTATTCTATTCTTGTCAAACACACATTTTATTTTTAATGTGAAATGTGCAAATTTGATGGCTGTAAACAAAAAATTGTAACAACATCAAATAATTCCAATGTCCGAATCCAGTATTCGAGTTTTTGAAAGCAACGTACTCAGTGCAGGCGAAACACATTTGAATTATTCTCTGGACTGGAACATATGGAAGTACACATACAACTGTAATAATAATTAATTGTTTATTGATCGATCGATGAGTACAATCTCTAGCATGTGGCAGCGCAACTAAAAAAGTAGTGCTGAATTGTATACTAGTGTTTATAAACAGAGAAACAAATCTTGCACAGTTAACAAATAGACAACTAAACATGATTGATAACAGTTAAACCATTAGAACCCTGGGCGATATGAGTAGTTATCACACAGGCTGGAACTCCCTGAGTGCTGTCCCCCAGAGTTACTGCCGGCTCCATATTGTCGCTAACTAGCATGGACTACCAAGCCTAGAGCCAGGCCAGAGCCTCTGAGGACATGTTTTTTTTTGGCGACGCCTCAGGGGGGAGCCTAATGGTACAGTATTGTGTGCAGTTTGCAAGAATTCTAGGAATTGCACAGGCATTTTTTTTCCACAGGAATGGAATGTCTACAGGCATGTCTGGGATTTTGCTGACACACATCTATGCCCACATTCCTACGTAGTGAAATTCCAGGAAACCCTTGGGACATTGTGGAAATTGTACAGATTCACAACTGAGCAGACACATGGGGGAGCCTAATGGTACAGTATTGTGTGCAGTTTGCAAGAATTCTAGGAATTGCACAGGCATTTTTTTTCCACAGGAATGGAATGTCTACAGGCATGTCTGGGATTTTGCTGACACACATTCTATGCCCACTATTCCTACGTAGTGAAAATTCCAGGAAACCCTTGGGACATTGTGGAAATTGTACAGATTCACAACTGAGCAGACACATGCTGATTTACATCCCTGTCCACTCCCATGCAACATTATCTAGCTCATATAGCTATAGCTCCCATGATGTTAATGATGTAAGCAGTAAGTGAGTTTTCTGAATTAGTGTAGAACATCTTCCCCTACGTATCATCGACAGTCTTCAACTCTGCTGCATTTGAACAGGTACTATATCTTTCTCTCTATAATAATTGAGAAGTTTATTGCAAATTCATGCCCGGAGGTTAATTGCCAGTTACAAACATAAAAGAACATTGAAGAACAGTATATAAAATAACTAAAATCCACATAATGAAAGGTTGTCTAAAATTATAGCTACGTCTAAGTCTAAAACTATGTCTGAAGGGTTTGACTTCTCTTTTATAACTGTAGAAGACATGTGTAACGTTATATCTGTAAGTCTCCTTCTCAGCATTTTCCCAACATGTTCAGGGTCACAATGTGAGTTATCAGAATGCCACAAAGAGGAGTATCCATTATGATCTAATACCGGTATGTCTTTAACACGTTGCAATAAAGTTTGTCTACGGGTATTTGTAGGCTTTGCTGTAAGAGAGAGCATCCGTTTGAAGGGAGTGTGAGGTTGTGTCCATTTGGACCAAGCATAACCAGAATTTAACTACTAGTATATCTATATACAAATATCTGTATCTAAAGGAAGTCTACCTAATTCTGCTCTACAGGCGACATTGCTTACTATTTCTAAATACACCAAGAACATTTTTACAGAATTGGTTGTGTACATTTTCGATAGGTGAGGTCTAATATGTAGTTTAATATAATATTTCTTGTGGACATCAGATATTGACGTTCAACTTGATAGGTTGTTAACGTTAGGTAAGCATAACCAAATCCTTCGACTAGATCAATTTGTTATAGGACAATTATTCCCCGGGTAATCATTCTCAATGGCAGATTATTTCCTGTACATTTAATAGTCCTTTATAACAGACAAGTTTATGTTTCACCTAAAATTAAAATCACACAAATCTATCACAGTTCCAACAACAGAGGAAGATTTTTACTTTTTACGATCGACACAGGTGTCCTATAGGGCTCTTTTTATTCATAAATACATTGGATGTTGTATTACCTTCTAAGGATTGCCAGGCCGTAAGAAGCACGTGGAAGGTCCCCATTTGGACAACCACACAGAACTGAAAACTAGCCCTTGTAGTGGTGAAACAGACCGCCGTGTTTCCCTGATGGGATCGGAAAACACCTCTAAGCTGACCCGCTGAGACTGGTTACCAGGCTTATAATCTCTGAACTCAGGCCGCAAATCTGTACCTCCCTGTGATGACTGCCTCAAACCAAGCCAAAGTGATCTCTCTTTTCAGCCGACAATCAGTCTGCTTTCCTCACATACCTACAATCATACCCACATTCCTTTCCCACATGCCTTTCAAGTGTATGTCCTACATTCTGACATTCTGGTCCACATTCCAGGATTCTCCACATGCCTTTAAAATGTCCTACATTCTGACATTCTGGTCCACATTCCAGTATTCCCCACATGCCTTTCAAGTGTATGTCCTACATTCTGGACCACTTTCCTACGAAGTGAAATTCCAGGAAACCCTTGCGACATTGTGGAAATTGAACAGATTCACAACTGAGCAGACACATGCTGATTCACATTCCTGTTCATGCCCCGGTCCCGGAGGCTAATTGCCAGTTACAAACATAAAAGAAGAGCAGTATATAAAATAACTAAAATCTACAAATGAAAGGTATTTGTCTAAAATTATAGCTATGTCTAAAACTATGTCTGAAGGGTTTGACTTCTCTCTTGTAAAGACTTGTAAACTGAAGAAGACATGTGTATATCTGTAAGTCAGAGTCCTTCTCAGCATTTCCCCC